GGCAGAGAAGGTCAGACCCAATTCACTTGGATCAAACAAAACTTCCCAGGCCCACCCGCAACAGCAGTCGCTGATCAGCTCACCTAAGACCATTAGGCCACCGCGGCTCGACCGTCCTCCATCCGAACTCTTCACCTATGGTGACGTTGTCTCGGGACGGCCAGTCAGCCGGGTTTGCATCAGTGGCCACACGATCGATGAAGACTCTTGCTTGGAGCTTCAGGATGAGATCCCAAAAACAAGCTACGAGCAAACAGAGATCTTCGCGACTTGAATAGCCTTTGATCAAGGCGGCTTCTACCACCTCTGAATCAATAAAAATGAAAATATCCGCATGAATCATACGATCGGAAAAAGCTAAGATCGGAGCGAGCATTTCCACAGGAATAATCTGCGTCTGTCGAGCCGACCATCTCTTCTTTACTTCAAAAGGAACTACCTCAGTGAACTGAAGGGCATGATTCATGCGTCTATCAAAGAGCACAGCGCCAACACGATCGGGAAGCTTGACACTATCTCTCGGATCTGGAGAGAACCCGTCCGTGAACAGGACTACATCAGCCTTCTTAAGTGCACAAAGGTCGATCGTCCTTGGAGGCCCCGAAGCCACGAGTTTCTTCCACTGCTCTAGGGAGGCTCTCAGAGCTTGATCAAGCTCGAAAGCCTCGAGCTGGGAGCCGTGGGCGTACTGCCTCTCCGAAATGGATCTCAGGAAAGCACGGCCGACTTTTCCCCACAATTGACTGGCTCCGAACATGAGCTTGCCTTTGAGTTTGCCCGCATGACCTGGCTCCAGAACATTTGCAGACAGAATGCTATCAATTTCTTCGAGCAGGTCACGACGACGATCCGGCTTGATCTCAAGGATCCATTCATCGAGGTTGTATGTCACACCCAGAATGGTAGGCTTCGAACAGAGCTGCAGTTTCTTCACATCGAACTGGGCTCCTAGCCACCAATGCACCGATTGTGCCACTTCGAAGGCGGACTCTACGCACTCGACCGGCTCGAAGCCGTATTTGTCATCATAGAAATTGAACGCTATCAGCTTGAACAGCTTCATGAGGATCTCGTTGATGGCTGCTGAACGTCTGTTGTAGTTGTAAACTGCAGACACCAGCCCAAATGAATGTCCCACCATGACAAAGAAAGCAGGGCAACCCGAGCCGGGGTCCTTCAAGCAGATCACACTGAACTTTCTGTGGTCAGGTCTGATCCCCACTTGGCGATAAGCCTTCCTCTCATCTAGAACCCAACCAGCAAACTTCGAACTCGGCATCAATGATCGCATCAACCTCAAGGCTGCTACATTGGTGTCTGTCGAGGGCAGCTGCAGTTTCTCTGTGATCACAGTTATCTGGTTGATCAAGTTCGTAGTTGCGCTGTCACAGCCACGGACCTTGTTCTTTTGGACGACCTCGAAGCGCTGAGTAGGTATCCAGTCATCGTTGCCGAGCAGGCTTGTGACCTCTTCTGGTGTGGCAAAGGGGCCCAGAGTCGAGCCTTCTGCCACATCCTCGAGCGTAGCTTCCCAGATCTTGGTCAGGTTCTCTGATATCGGCACACCTCTGACTCGAGCAATGATTTTTGAACGAATCCCCCAGGCCCGATCAATGGCGTATTGCACTGGCAGCTGCGGCTGCGACTTCTCATAGGCTGGCCACCTGCTTGAGCGAGCAATCGGTCCGACAATAGGAAACCCTTGCAGCAGAAGATCCGGCAGAAAGGCATCCACAGAATTGCAGGCCTGGAGCATCTCGTAGTAGAGGGCTACGTGGCAACAACGACCAAGTTGTAGTGGCTCATGATCCTGGCCGCCCCTCAACAAAGATCGTAGTGCCGGATCCGGCTGTGCTGCCAGTAAGGCGTCAGACTGAGGCAAGAGCTGAACAGCGCGAGCGCGCCAATGTGCGAGCGCGGCTTGCCGGTGTTGCCGTACTTGAGTTGGTTGACGAGCCACTTGAGTGATCGTGTGCTTCAACAAGTCATCCAGCTCGACTTCCACGCACAGAGGGTGGGGAATGGCGAGCGCCCACGCGATGGCGACTCCCGGTTCAGCTTCTGTATCAAGCAGTGGCTTGCGAGCCCCTCGCTTCAGTTGATAACCCGAAGCTTCGGCCTTCAGTGCTGTGACAGCTTGACGATGGTCCCGCCACCGCAGCGGCTGACCGACCGGTCGTTTCCGCTTGGAGGCAGTGAGGCCGAAACTCAAGGCGAACTGGGGGGTCTCGTCGCTGCAGCACGTCTCAATGCATCGAGCCATAAGTTGACACATCTGAACAGGGTACACTTGCGCCAGCTTGGTACGGAAGACTTCTTTCTTGAAAAAGTCGGACCAGACCTTGCCGTGCAGACGTTCATGACGGTGACCCCCTTGACAACGCCGCTCCAATTGTGTGAACACTTGATGTGAAACCAAAAGTGAGGTCGGCTTCACTGAAGGAGCACCGAATTCACACTGATCGAAGCTGATCATAAACGCGCGACATGCGCGAGCAAGCGCCTTCGTCGGTGGTGCAGCCCATAATAAGCTGGCCTCGGGGTTCTCGATGGAGAAGTTGCCCCCTCGAGCAAAGACAGCAGCGCAGGCTTCAGCCGATCGCAGCAGAAAAAGGTTGCCCAAAAAGACTAACGCAAGGTTCTCTTCAGACAGACCAGGCAGCCCGAGCGGGTAGGTCGCCGACCGCAAAGGCGGAGGGCCTCCGTCCAACTTTCGTGCACTCGAGAAGGTGTTGCACGGTGTGCCACAGTGGAGAAAGAGGATTGCTCCCGAGCGACATAAAGCGAGGATGAACTCCCATTGCTCAGCGTCAACCACATCGAACGGTGTGGGCACTTCTTCACAGATCGTGATGTCGATCGGCGGCAAGCAGGGAATGTTGAGCGAGCGCACTGCCGAAGTCAACGTAGCTGTACCCGAGAAGACCTCGAGGAACCACGGCCCATGCTTGCGAACGAGCTCGACGTCTCGAGGGACTTCACTCCACGAACGCCACACTAGGCGAGCAAGTGGCACTGTCAGCTGAGGAGGGCTAGCTTCATCCGTGCCGAACGGCTCAACCTTGTTCTGCAGAGGGGCAGTCTGAGCCGAAGAACTGCCCCCCCGATAGCGAACTTGTTCAGTGGTTGCCGTGCCAAGGGTGGTCCTTGCCACACTCGACACAGCTGTGAGCGGCTTTGCACTGATCACCAAAGCGACAGCCCAACGAACAGTTAAACCAAGGGCACCGTTTTCGACCGGAGTACTTGAAGCTGTTGATCTTGGACCATTCTTCTGCCGGCGCACGGGCGTCTTTCTTTGGAGCTGCCTTGTTCTTGCTGACCATGTGGTCCCGAGCGGACTGCACGAGCTTCTTCTGGCGCTCGCGGCGAGCTTTGTTCTTCTTGGCCTTGGAGGAAGCAACCGGCCGCGGAGGTGTCTCCGAACGATCTCGCTTGGCCCGCTTGGGCGGAGTAGCTGGGGCGGACTGCCCCGCCTGTTTGAATTTGTCGAGCTCAGCGCTCGATCGAGCGTCGTTCCACAGCTGCTTGTGGTTGGTGAGCACTTCGAGCAAGGCTGCTGAGAAAGTACTGAACGTCTTGCGATGATCTGAGTTGAGGCGGTAGACCTTCTTCCTGATCAGAGAGTCAACAGTGAGCAGCAATGCCAGACCTTTGTTGTCATGGCGCCATTCTTCGAGCTCGGACAAGTAGCGCACAGGATCTGCCACATGGGTGAAGTCACAAATGTTGAGGTATTCCAACGCGACGAGAAAGGCGTGCAGCTTGTCCATGACTTGCGACTCGGACGCAGCTGACACTGGTTGATCAACAGTAACCACCTTGAGCAAGTCCTCTGCGTTCTTGGACAGTCCACTCTTCTGGGCGATCTGCTCACTCCGTGTTCGCATCTCTCCCACCTCATAGAATGGCACGGATCCGTGCACCAGGAAGTCGCGCTGGATGCGCTCCACGAACTTGCGATGAGGTTCCCGATGATGGGGCAGGAGGACGTCAGGGTGCTTCAACACGAACTGTTCACGAAACTCTGCATGATCGTCTCCAGGAATCTCGGGAACTTTGGAGGGATCCTCTTCCATTTTGGCTCGCCGGGACGCAAAGTGCTCTTGGAGAGTCGAGCAAGTGCGCCAAATGGCTGCCAAGGAGGTGAGCGCCAGTTCTTGCGCTGCTGCATCTGCCCCGAGCAGGGTGTCATCCCCGATGATGGTCTTCAAGGTGGTCTTGACCGCCCCGATCGAGTCTCCGAGCATGGCAAAGGTCTCCACGCTGAGCAGGCCTTTGTCGGCCGCCAACTTACACAAAGTCGTGGCCAGGCGGTTGCGCCCGAACACTTGGCGGAGACTCAGCTCCGGAGTGGCCGCTGCATCGTACACGGTCCGATCGACCATGCTGGCGTGAAAAGCTCTGAGCTCAGGACGAAAAGGCTGCGGAAAAACACAAAACCATACATGGGCAAACACGAGCAAGAAACATCACAAGACTGCATGCAAACTCGCTTGTGGGTGCATAAGCACGACGGCGGGACCTACTAGTCTGAACTGGCGCTTCCTCGAGCATATGAGGCCTCAACCTCGGGCCGGGCCTTTGCACATGCCTTGCAGAAGACGCTGATGTCAGGCAGCGTCGATCCGACTGACGAACACTCACTCAAAGCGAACTTGCTGCACGCTGTCAGGGAGTCATTGCTTCGTGCTGAGCAGTGAAACTTGTACTCATAGTAGGTTGCCGAGCTGGCAGTCTTGACGAAGAATTCGATGTCGTTGAGCTCTACGTCACGACCGTCCAACAACAGGGTCTCAGCGTCCTCTTGAACTGGGTGAGCACTTTGAACTAGGTCATGAACGAGCTGTCGCACCATAACTGCTGGAACCGCCGATCTGTTTCTGGTGTACTTTAAAACCATGGGGCCCGGGTCTTTCCAGTTCGCCTGGAGCCCGATCTCCTCTGTCGAGCGGCCCGCGTGGACGGCGGCGTCCAACAATGTAACACGACAAGAGTGAATGGTCAAGTTGTTGATCACTCTCGCACAACTGACTTGCTCTTCCTGCCGGAGCCAGTCAGCACCGTCGATGGCTCTCCGGCTGAGGTATTTCAGCCACTGCAACGATCGTGGATATGAGGGTGGTTCATTCTTGAACTCGTCCCGAGCATTCAGTTCAGGAACCCAGTAGTCACGATCGAACGACTGAAAGTCTTTGAACAAAGCCCAGCCTGTTTCGAGCCACGCCGACTGTCTAAAGCCTACTTTAGGCACTACGAACCTAGTGCCAACCCTCTTTCTCTCGACCTTGGTCTGCCAAGCCACACCGAAGAGGCCTTCATCTCTCATCTCCAGCTCGTGCGGCTTGACATGAACCGCGTCATCGAATCGAAGCGACGCGAAGCTCATGCAGAGCAACCACCACACGAAAATTCGCAGGGGGACCTGATCAGTCTCGCACATCACCGTCGTTTCGAGCGCGCCCACGACTCCGATCGGCAGCGGGATGGCCTCTTTCAAGGTCTTGGCTCTCTCGTTCACGACCTGTTGGACGAGGGCTTGGAACCGATGGTCATCGAAGTCCGGACCGTCGATCGCCAGCCGTGAACACACCCACTTCACTGAAGCTCTCAAGGATGGTAGCACCGAAGGGCCACACTCTCGCTCGTTGAGAAAAAGGGCGTATTTCAAAATCTTCTCGATTGACATGGGGTAGATCTCGAACGAGTTGACCCCTGACCATTTCTCAAACCTTTCAAAAGTGGGGATGTGAGCAGCCATGGTTCTATGTGCACCCGCGATGAGGACGAGCTGTTTCAGCTGAAGCCGTTCTCCTGGGGAGGGCTCCGCACTGTGCTCATCTTCCTTGAACAGGCGCGAGAACTGTCCCGCCCGCTGGGCGATCGCTTCAAGGCGAGCCGCCCACCTCCATTTCTCACTCTTCTCTTTGTCGAGCAGCGGTGTCTTTGATGAAGACGACGACGGATCCACTTTGGCCCTCTTGGGCTGAGGGGCTTGCTGCCTCAACAAACCTGTAATGGCGGCTTGCTTTCTCAGGCGGGCAGCTGCATCGACCGGAGTGGGGGGCAACGATCGTTCGCACAAGCCAAACCCGAGTTGAACAGCAGTAGATTCGAAAAACGTCTTCTCAATCGACACCACTAGTGACCAAAACTGTTCGAGCATCCCTTCACGACCTTGGAAAGCGTTCGCCGCTTTTGCCTCGAGGGAGGAAGCCACACTCATCACCTTCCCCGCGAACTGGGCACCCGATTCGAGGTCCATGGCCGAAATGAAGGCTACTCCCGCAAAAGGGGAACTCCGAACAGCATCCCTGAACTCGCCATCAAAAATGGGGAGAGCCAGGATTTTACTGACCCAGCGATCAGGGTCAGCCATCTCGAGACAAAGAAACTGCCGGCCCGATCGTGATCACCCCGGCACCGAACGAGGTGTCTCAGGCCAGGTGGTGTGGGTCAAGGGTCGAGCGACCCCCAACAAGAAGCCCCGAAACACGAAGACCAGGGGGACCACCCAACCGAACACAACCGACGCACCTGACCCACACGACCACCGGCGAGAGCGCAAGGGTTCCCGACGCGTCCACCACGGGCCTCAAGCCGATCGAGTTGGAAGGGACGTGATGCCGGTCGGTCACTAATCGAGCGACTCGAGTGAGCACAACTCCATGTAAACAAAAAGTTCACGAGCTAGTTGAAAAAGAGCTGAAGCACTCGAGCGGATGAAAAAGAGCTCACTCTTACTTAGCTCAAAGTGGTTGATCAACCCTACCCATGGAGCACAGCATGCCAGAGCAAGTCAGAGCCCCTAACTGAACAGTTAGTGCTGACTCGAACGGCTTGAGGCCCCTGGGCTTCCACCCCCGATCTGGGATTCTTGCCTCTGCGGTCGCAGCAGTCCGCGACGTCGAACCGCGGCCGATCGGCGTGATCGAGTGTCACACTCAAAACTGCAGAGCTGATCAACCTACACGACTCTCCAAAGTTAAATTGAACGTTTTAAACGCATGAGAGAAATTACATCAACACGACACTGCAAAGCCCGTCGCCCTGTTTCATTCCAGAGCTCCGAACGAAGTCCTTCAGAGCTAATTGAAATTCGATCGGGTCGAACCGCCCTCTAGACATCCGCAAAAGATGGATTCGGCGGTGCAAACGACTTGGGCTGTGCCACCGTGGTCGGATTGACCTCTTCGATGGTGACCTGCGAATCATGCGAACTGTTCACTGGCCACCAAGGCCTCCGAGCGGCTTCGACAAAAGCCTGGGGCGTCATCGCTGAGCAGTCTAAACTGTCCCCCCGTCTCTGTTCCAGGGTGCGACGAGCCGGCGCCAGGGAACCCACCAACGAAGAGCCTGGCTGAGGCAGCTGACCCGGGTTGGTCATTGAGGGCTTGACCGAGCTCACGGGCGTGGCTGCAATCGTCTCTCCCACTGGCCCTGTAAGTGCTGGAGCCAGCTTCGGAGCCTGATCCAATGGCCTCACGGCCGGGCCCTCGATCAGGGGTGGAACCACCGTTGCTGCAACCTCATCGAGCGGGTTGTGGCACTGGAGCGCCAAAGCCTCTGGTTTCACCAGAGCACGCTCTTTCCTGAACAAAGGACTTTCGCAGACCAGATGCACATTGATGGGGTTGGACTCCACCGCGATCGCGGACACCCTTGGGCCTGTCTCCCGCTCGGTGGGCGCTTCTGTCGCCGCGGTCCAATGAGCATGGATGGCCGCGAGCTGGGACATCTGAAGTTGCTGATCAGGACATTCGACCCTCGCTCCATGCTCGCGACACCACTTGGCGTTGCGGATCAAAGTCGGTCCTGACACTCGACTGACCACTAGCCACGAAGGTGGCACTTGTACCGAGCTGGCCGCTATGTCCAATCTGTCACCAGCGCTGAGAAAGCGCAGTTCCAAGCGATCTGCATCAGCGCCCATTGCGTCTGGCGACGCTGTTGCAACGAAGCGGCATTCCACATGGCACAGTGGAAAGTCCAAGGCAACGACCGTGCCTCCCTCCGAGCATGCGTAAATCTGGCCGCCGACCTCCCAGGCGACTGCCACCACTCTCCAGCCTTGGAAGATCGTGACCACAAAGGCTGGGATGAACACGGTCTCGGCCAAAATGTTGTTGATCGCATCGGCGATGTGCCACAGTTGGATGCTGCAATCCCGATCTGAGCGATAGCCCCGTAGTTCGAAGTGACACAACAAATGACCTTCCAACTTCACCTTGACATCGACCCATGTCGGAGAGTTTTCAGTCATTTGAGGCCATCTGAACGGCTGGAACGCGCTGTGGCTGAGCACCTCTCCAGTGAGGCTGTCCCAGCGAGCGCATGGGGCATTGCCATAACTGGTCATTGACGCGCAGATCGTGACCTTGACTCCATCAAGGGTCTTTGCCATGAAGAGGCTAAAGTGGTAGCCACTCGTTGGAGCCCTGACCAAGTTGCGATCCGAACGGATGTTGGTGTAGGCCAAGGCATTGGTCAGCACTTCGTCCAGGAGCCAACCCTGAAAAGGCGATTGCACTCGGCAGTCTCTGCCATCAACGATCAGAACTGACCTCTCATTCTCATTTCCCCCGGTCTGGGACAAATGATCAGGCAGCTGGGCGTTCAAGGCATTGTGGGCAAGGTTGCCCGGCGCCATCTGCCCCCATCTCACTCCCCTTCTGCCACGACGAGCTGCTTGCTCTTGCTGTCTCCTCAAGCGTCTTGACATAGGGGGCTCATTGGCATGATCAATCAGGCCTCGAGCTGCTTGGCTCACTGGAGCAGTGTTCTGAGCTGGAGCTGCAGCAGGAGGTGGTGGAGGTGGCATACTCTTAGGCTGAGGCTCGAGCGGCGTCCCTCCTTGAGCTTCAGGTTGGCTGGAGTCAGCCTGATCCCTCGTTGACTCCTGTTCAGGTACTGGATCCAGATTGGCGTTGTAGGCCGCTGGTGTCTCAGGATCCAAGTTCACCCATGATGAGGATGAGGAGGAGTCGTCCCAGCGTGTGCTGGCATTGTGCACTTGTCGCTGCATAGCTGAAGGGATCCCTAAGCCCGGTGGGGGTGCCTTTCGAGCAGGAGGAGCACTTCGAGGAGCTCCATCTGTCGCCATGAGACGAGTCGCCCAGGCCCCTAGAACTGAAAAGCTTACCAGGGAAATCTTTCAACCTGGCGACCGTCGAGAGGCGACTAGTCGCCAAAATGGCAGCGATTGATCAATCGCAATACGTATCAAAATTAAATGATCAAAAATAAAAGCTGAACACATTACCGAGAAAGTCCCTAGCATGTCCCAGACCAACCTACCCGTCAACATGCTCACACACTGTCTGGAGCACCGACGACATCCAAAATGTCCCTGCTAGAGTAAACCAAATCACACACACACACACGTGGACTTCCTGTGCCCTTGTGGATTTGACTCAAAAGTGTCCACAAAGAGAGTGATGCACATGCGCCTTGGGAGGTCTTCTGTATCGGGTGGCAAGCCCCAAAGCCTTTGGTAAAACTCATCATCGGATTCGCCGCTGGACGTCTGTTCAGCAGTCCGCAACCTCCCAGCGATACACAAGGGTACAGTAAGATTTCAAATCCAAAGCGGTCATGATTCAGAATGCCCAAAGTCACCCAGCCCTACTGAAGAAGGATTCCAAAGCACTGGGCACACAAAGAGGAAAAGTGCTTCTACATCTATCTTCACACTGACTGAGACCAATGCAAAAAGCAAGTAGTACAAGTATGTCTATAAATATAAATATATGTATATCTGTGTGTATAAATATATTTATAAAGCTCACCATTGGAACGCGCTGCCTTGCCTCAAGTCCTCAATGTCCTCCTGCCTTTGGCGACGAACTTCTGCTCTGCTCCGAGCTTCAGCACGGTAGTTTCTAGGTTCGTCAAAAGCAGGGTCTGGCTCGTCGAGGGAGAGAATCAATGCAATGGCCTTGGCCAACAAGCTTGGAAGAACCTTTGGTGTAACAAGACAAACAGAAGCTACCAACACTATATAGAAAGTCACCCATCCGATGAGTGCTTTGTCTCCTCCGAATGCTTCCTGGGGAAAGCATCAAAGGCATGCCCTCTAGCACCAAATTGCTTCGTCCGATGCTGAAAGGTCATCTGTCAGCTGCGATGTGAGATTTTCTGAAGCATTCACACGATCTTGGCTTCCAAGTCCTGTCACAGGGTGCACAGGAGAGGTGCATGAACCCTTCTCGGGCTTTGTCACCCCCAAAGCGACCCCATCTCCTACACATTGACCATCACCACTGCTCTGCAACTGCATTTGAAGTTCCAGTGCCACACGAGCATCGTCAATGGGTTCCTGGAGAACAGCAAGAAGCTTCTGCGGCACTCGCTCGGGGCGCCATAAGCGAGTTGCCTCGGAACCAGTCTCAGTGGCGCAGAAGGGAGTATTGCCATCAACGGCCGCCTTCTTGGAGCTCAACTTCGTAAGGCTCTGCAGTTGTTGCAGTTGCTCAGTCCATTGCATCCGCTCCAGGCTTTGTGCCAAACCTTCCAAATGTTTCTTCAATGCACCTTGGGGCATACTTGGAGCTAGCTGCGACTGTCGCTGTATTGTAACGTCCCCTGGGTATCCTTTGCTCTGTCCACGTCTTGGAAGGCCTTTTTTGGAATCTCCTTCTCGTAGCCCGCGCCGTAGCCCGACCTCTGAGGCTTCATCCTTCAAAGGTCCCATGAAATCGTTCTCCTCCGGGAAAAACGGCGACGTCGACATGGGACATGGGACGAGGCAAACAGCAGACGGTTCGGTTCAGGGCTGTTTAAAAAAATGTGAAACGTGAAACGATCCTGGACGCTTCTGACCATTCTGTGGATGGCCAGGTGGCTTCCGTGCAATGGGCTACTACATCCCATCCGTCGAACACAGAATGTGCCGACCAAAACATGGCCAAAATGAGAAATCTAGGATGCAAGCAAGTTAAGTTTCCCTAAAAATCTAGGAAGCAAATCATTAGTGCAAGCGCTTCTTCAAGGAAGCTCCCCTCGCCCTCACAGGGGAGCTTCCTTGAAGAAGCGTAAGCTATCCTACATCCAATTATATACTACACCTGAAAGCCCACCGGTCCATCGTCAAGAACCGACCGGTCCATCGTCTTCGTTGCAGCATGTCCCTCCGGTCCATCCGGTCCACGAAAACGATTACTGGTCCATCCAGAAGGTGTATTTTGGCACGTCGTTCGTCTCCCTCTCTCCTGGGCCAAAGCCTTAAGCTGGGAGTCCATCTCGTCAAAGACTCGAGCCTTGCCGGATTTGCCCTCCATGCCGCTTTCGGACGCGCAAAGCGCACGCACGGATGCGGCATGGAAGCGGAGGAAGCGGAGGATGCGTGGAGGAAAAACGTGACGTACACGTCGCAGGCTCTGATTGGTTGGGAGTCACATGTCACCACATGTCACATAGCCGCAAGTCACCGAAAAGGATTGCAGATTGATACATGTTGTTTGGATCCTCAGGTCTGGATTCATGCATCCATCAATTCCGAGGCTAGCAGCTACAGTAGAGGACCGCATCGGCACAAGTCCATTCATGTCCATTCCGAAGCGTCTGGGCCAGCTCAGAAGTGTCAAATCCAATATGTTCATTGCACCGCTTGTTAAATCATGTTAAATCTTTGTCCTCTATGGTTACCGTTTCACAAATGGAAGGTGCTTCCAGCCACACCTGGCCGTTCTCTTGACTTTACCAAAAAAGCTGCACAAACAAACAAGCAGCGAGCTCGACCCGTCGCAGCATCGCGATCGCCTCACCCGCTTTTCCGAGCTTTCTCGTCGCGATACGCGGTGGCACTATCCAACGGCCCAGCGGGTCGGTGAATCCGAGGGCGGTGGCGGAGGCGCGCCGTTCTTCGCCCTGGCAGCGAGGCGCAGAAGAAAGGGCACACGGCAGCCAGAGCAAAATCCAAGCAAACCTAAAAGACCTACGTTTGCTGTTCTGCCGTGCGTTTGTTGGCAAGCTTCAAAATTGAACAGCCAGAATTTGCCAAGTTATGGTGTTCCCATATTTTCCCCTGTACGTGCTCTTCGTGGGACATCTCAATTAATTATGCAAAAATCGGTCTTCTGACATGACAATGTTGTTGAACCTGCAGAATTTGCACAAATGCATGTATTCACAATCTCTTGTGAGGCTGGAAGCATCCTTCAGATCTGCAAGACCATGCCAGCACGACGCAGCTGCGAACCCAGCCGCAAACCCCGCGGAAGTAGGGGCATCGGTTTGTAACACCTGAAAAACAAACGAATGGAAGCCAACGAGCGCGGCATTGTCCCGGGACAAGCAGACCATGATGCCGCTGCACCTGCGTGGCATACTGCTGCTGGTGCGGCGGCATGGAAAACAACGCACGTCGCGGCGCACTGGCACCAGTCGCCTTTGGCCTCGGTCCAACCACCATGGATCGGGCGAGTTCACCCGTCGAGGATCGGGCGTTCGCAGCGTTCACCCCGGTGGATCCGATCGGAGCGCATCCAGGAGGGCTTCTTTTGTGTGGGCTTCAGCAGTGGCCAGTTCTTTTGACAATCCGCTCGGCTAGCCCGGCATAAAGACCAAGTACGAAGACGCTCAAGTCTCCAACTAGAGGGTTGGCATGGCAGGACTCCTATCTCTTTCCATGGGTTTTAAGCGTCAGTTCGGGAGGGCGCGCGGATGCGCGCGGCCACCCTTTGACCATTTAGAGCGGAATAAGAACCTTCATGGAGCACTCTTCTCAAGAACATAGAGTTCTAACTTCTAACCCACCCAAGTCCTTCAAAGGCCCACATCACTAAGTAGCCAATCCCCACAGAAAGAATCCGAACGCCGAGCCACGGCAAGGGCAAACAGCTGCGCCTGGGCCTTGGCCTTGCCCAGCGCGTTCCAGCCTGGAGCAACGCGCGATTTTGTGAAAAGGTGCCTTGTTACGTTCGTAGCTTCTAGCTACTAGTAATGGCCTCCAACCAAGTCTCGCGATGGCCTCCACCCTAGTAGCGATGGCCTCCAACTTAGTAGCTTCCGAGTAGTAATGCCAGTAGTAAGGTTGATTAACAAAAACCCTTACTGTACCAGTGTGGCTGAAAACATCTCCGTATGGGAAGGTTTTAATGTATCAGTCTATGAGTTGTACATGTATTCGGCGAAGGAACATGCAAGTCTTGCTTTCGGCATCCACCCGTTTGAGCCCGGTGCTTCGCCGCCCGTGGAGTCTCTGGAGCCACCCCAACAAATTCCCTCTTGGCTTGGCTCGGCTGGCTTGGGTAGGTCTGGGCCGTGAAGTGATTCTAAACCTATACTGCTGAAAGAGCTCTGATTCCATATGATTCCATTGGACAAACACCTCCTTTGACCAGTATATACATGAAGACATCGAATCGAAGACATATGAAGACCCATTCGACCCCTCAAAAGGCTCGCGGCTTGTCACACCGTGCCTCTGGATCGTCTGGATCCGCACCGACCTGATCACAGAGTGACTGGTCCGTCATCGCCACGAATTGTGGAGCTCCTGGGAGGGAATCCTGGGCATCCCAAAATTCCCGTGGCGGATTGTTCATGCGAGTCTCGTGTCTCTGTTTCCCAGGCCCCTGTCTCCCTCCCTTTAGCACCCCACAACCAGTCGACAGAACCAAACTGAGACCTCCAGGTGTCAAGAACCCACGTGAGACTGGGCCGCGCGCAGGAGCCGTCAAGGAGCTGGCTAAGATGCTCTGCACCGAACTCACTGAGGAGGCCAAAGAGGTTAACCTCACAACTTTGCACTCAGCGTTCTTTGTGGCTGTATGTGGAAAGAGTGAAAGAATCGTTGAACAAAAATTGATGAAACTTGAGGTCCCATGTATGCTTGAAGATCAAGACAGAAAGAGACTAGATTATGCTTTGTTTATGTTCTTTCTTTCACCTTAAGCGCAGTAGGAGGACTTGTCCTTCGCAAGACAAAAAGAGATTGAAAGCATCATTCAAACTGGAAATACAAAGCACAGGGTCCCTTCTCCAAAAAATACGAACAAGACAGTGGATTGCATGTTGCACTAGGGTCACTAGGGTCATGCTGTGAAAACACATCTTGTTTTGGAGTCAGAAGAAACTCCCATCGTCCGCCCGCCCAGCTAAGCTCATCTCGTGTGAGTCAAGTCCGGCATGGCCTGGCCATGCCATCAAATCTTCATCTCAAATACTTTGACAAGATGGCCAATCAGTGGAGCACGAATGGACCAAAAAGTCTCATGGAAGACTGCGCTAAAAAGAGACTCTCTGCTCAAGTTGAGCACTCCAAAAGCCGCCGCGAGCCTCCCTTGTGCAGCTGCGAGCCCTGCGCTCTTCTGCCACGAGGAAGCCTGAGGCGAAGTGTTCGCGGCGTCGCGGAAGAGTCACCTGGACGGACTGGAACAAATGCAAAGAACCCTGCACCTGGACCCATGTTTCCGTATATACTTCTTAAAGATCTATCATTACATATATATATAGAGAGAGAGAGAGAAAGAGCGGGCAGTTGTGGCAGTGCGCTTTTTGGCCCATTTGCTATGACAAATGGACTATTTATAATAACTTATATATACCTAATTCAATTATATATAGTTTAATTCTAATTCAGTTCTAATTCAACTCTACATGCATTCTAATTCAATTTTCTTTCAAATTCAATGCTAATTTAGATGTAAATAGAGTTAATTCAAATCCAATTTACATAATTCCATTCAAACCTAATTTCATAAGTTAAATCATATTTATTCCAATTTAATTATTGTTTAATTCAAATTGAATTATTGTTCAAGTCAAAAAATTCCAGAGAGCAGGTGTTGCTGGGGGATGTGAGTTTAAGACAAACTGATATAAAATCATGTGCTTTACAGTGTTCTCTTGCCCTGGGAGTGCTGGAACTAGGTCAATTGGTGAGGCTTTCCTGCTGGATGCAATTGTTGTACAGCCATGTTTGGCAGTGCAGTTTTCTTGACAAATGTTGACTCAAAAGAACACAAATTTGCGAGAAAACTGCCAGGAGTGCCCGTTATGTTTTGTATATTATATATACATGTCAATGTGTGTGTTTCTGAGTGATTTTGTATAATGATAATGATACTTCATAAAGGTTGCAGGGAAAAGAAAAACATTCACCCTGATTCTATCCTCTCTCCACCTCTCTCCCACATCCTGCCTACCAGCAAGTCGTAGCGAACCTGGGAAAGGCAACAAGTGTCCGAACAAGGGAATTGGACACCGAACGCAGCACAAGAACAGCAACGTGATTCCTTGTAAGGGTTTTTGTGAACATGCCCATGGCCTGAAGGGCTTATTTCACCATGGTCTATTTGATGTTGAAGTCCTCCGGGTCTATGATCGTGCAGCCGATGGCTCTGAGGCCAGGCACATGGATATCGTATCTCCAGCGTTCACATGGATCTTCCCAGGTGCTGCAACCTGTGGCATTGTTGTAGTAGTACCTCTTTGCAAAAACTGGTGTGGTATGCCTAAAAATGTGTTTTTTTGAAGGATGTCCAAGCATCACATGCCAACGGCGCACTGCTCCGTGTCTCCCAACGGTCCAGTCCATTGCTGCAAATCCTGTCAAAACGCATCGAAGGTCAGCCACTGCGACAAATCCCAAGGATATTCCACACAGCAAAGTCACAGTATGCAGGCTGAGCACCACGCAGCAGCGGCACGAGCCTGTGGCTCGGAAGCAAATTAAGACGGAAAAGGCTCCAGGTCTGGACGTGGGTTGATGTTCATATACTTTGGGGGGTGTCCGAAACGCATCTAAATTCCTTGTCCCACAAACTGCTCTTTCTCTTCCCTTTCGTGAACTCTGACATTGAATAACATATCTGTAAGTAGTAAACTCCAGCTTTGGTCGGGACCCCGTTCCCGATGCATACTTATTGTTTAAAACGGAAATCATCAACTCCGTTGGAAATCTTGAGTATATGTTGCTGTTGTATGCTGTGTGTGTGTGTGCCCGAAACGTTTCAACCATCCGCCGTCCACAAAGTCCAAGACGGACTCAACCAATGCACCAAGTCAATAGATGTCAATAAATACCAATGCACTAACAAATGCAAAGGTTGCGCATGCGATGTATCTCATGTATCTTTGGTTCCCGAAACCACCAATGAAGTGTGCGAAAGGACTGGCTTTTTCAGACGACTCCCATTTGCCCAATGAGTTGTGCGTTGGCTGAACTGATTGAAAAACCTTATTTAGCAAATGCGACCAAATTCAGTGCTGCCGCAATTGGAAGAGGCTGAAACTACTTCTGAAAGTCAGTAGATATGGGTCATCAAACCATGTTAGCAACACACCGAGAGACTTGAATCAGAGTTTTGCTAGCTAAACAGGCATCTGATCTGACCAGGTTGGCTTTCTACAGCAGCGGTCTTCGTCAAAAGTGCTAGTCAAACCAGTCTAGTCTTGAACTGCAGCCTCATTGTGGATGATGTCTCCAATAAACATCTGAGGATCCTATCGACCAAGGCCCCTCTTCTCTCCAAAATTTAATGCTGTTTCAATGACTGCAGGAAACAATCAACCTAGTCTTTTATTGCTGTTCAGTAATCATCCACAAGAATGCTGATTCTATGACAGGGTCCTTGTAATCGGTATGGCTCAAGTATCGCGTACCCGAAATCCCTCTTCAAGTACTTGGATTTCAATGTATCATGTTCAGCATCTGATGGAGTCGGCACGCAATTGTATGCCCAACAATCTGAGGGGTGGTCAAAATATGTAAAAATGAAGTGTATCCCCAAAACGTTGAGTGTGCAGTGCGCGATATTGCGTGCAATAAAGCTTCAGAGAGTGCTCATGTCCATCCTCAATTGACCCGCATTGCGTTAGGTGTTTTCATTCCTCGGGAGCGGAGTGGGGCCACGCGCAGCAGCCGAGGCGCGGATCCTCCGCCACGCTGTGGCACCGCTGACCGCAGAAGGAATCTGTCCTCCCCTGCGGTCCAATGCTTGGAACTCATACCTGCCGATGTGCTGCTGCCTGATTGACTGTCGTGTTCACTCATCCTGTGTGCCTGCCGTTTCTGCACGGCTCCAAAGGGGCAGAACAACAAGTCGTGTGTCCAAGCGACATCGCATGCAAATGTGCACGATTTGGTCTGAGAATGTCTGAGACGCCCACTCCACATTGTCCACACCTTTTGTTGCCGTCTGAGTATCTGAAGGACGTGGCGGTCTGCCGCGCGCAGGTCTGCCGCGCCCGGTCTGAGCTTTGAAGGTCCGTTTCGTCCTCGCTTTCGGTCAAGTACCTTCGACCAAGCAAGTCCGAGCGAAGGAACATGCGGCCAACTGGACCATCTCTCCTCGCGCGTCTTCATGTCACTTGGCATGGGATCGACTTGCCATTCTTCATTCTTCACATTCTTCACGTTGCAAACGTCCACTTCTTGGTACCGAAACGAAGCAACAAGCCGTCCCCTGGCGCCGTCTTGACCTTGTCCCGTTGTCCAGCCAGGCCCTGTGTGCCAGAGACCTAGAAGGAATGGCCTCCATCTGCGCGTCCGGCCGACCTTTTGTGCCTCGATGCCTTGGACTATGCGCGTTGGCCAGCCACAGATGTTCGGCGGCTTGCTCCCATCGTTTTCGCCGAACGTTCGCCGTTGGTCCAAAACGGTTTGGGTCCTATCTCACCTCCGGTCATGGGTCCCCACTGTTTTGGGTGAGGCAAAGAAAGGTCAGGCGCAAGAGATTTGGAAAGTCGATGGACTGATGGAAGGCCACCCGGTGAACTGACCAACTCTGCCGGATGAACACACCAAATTACCGATCACTGATGGTCAATTGAATTGTGCGGGTCAATTGTGATAAAGCAATTAACATTGAGCGGAATCACCATACCCAAAACATCCGGTGGCTGATATTTCGATCTGTTCTACAACTGCGAAGTTCAGCAAGTTCAACTCCTGTTTGTTTGCAGTAAACACGGTTGAAACTCTCCACTTACTTGACATTTCCTGGGGCGGCATCATTGTATATCCCGTACCTGGATCTCCGTCAAGGACTCCTCAATCCGTCCAGCCTCAGCCAGCAAAATCTCAAGCACTTAAAATCACAAAAAGATTGCAAAAGTAAGTATAAGAGTAGATCTGAGTACCAAACATTTGGAGGCTCCTTATATATTTGCTGTCTTTGTTCGGAGACATCTTAAAAACACGGAGCTGTTTGGCTGAAATGGTGCTCTGGCGGCGGCAGATTGAATACCCCTACTGTCGGATTCGCGGACAACCTTGTTTGCAGAAAAGACACCATATTTGTATATATATATATAACAACTATATATGTCATAGGAGGAAGACAATTTGCTAATAATTTCCCTCACGATTCTCATTGACATGACATCTCTTTCCAATGGAATTCCAGCGGAGTAATTTCCACCCCGAATTAAGTTACAATACTGTAAATTTAGTTTGGGGTGGAAATTACTCCGCCGGAATTCCACTGTGATCCCCTGTAGGATTCTGATGGGAAAGGGTTGTAAGTCATGTGTTTCCAGGTTTTTTGGCAACTTTTGTCCTGTCTGTGTATGATTGCTTCTAGGTTGGAGGCCATCGCTATTAGGTTGGAGGCCATTGCTATCACATTGTACAGCATTACAAGGTCATCAGGGTGGTTCTTCACGATCTGACGAATGCTCTGCTCTCAGGGCTCTGAAGGATTGCTCTATCTGCAAGTTTCTGCACGATCATAGCAAAACCGAGAAAGACATATTGAGATGATCGTGTTTCCTTATGGTTAAACTGTGCAGCTATCCCGGGGTGCGTGGCGAGGCATCCCTGAGCCACGGTCGTCACTGCTTGTTGCCTACTGTCGTGTTTGTGGTGCGTTGTCAAGCATTACATGTGTGACTGTTTGCCATTCGTTGTGGTGTTTATCCTTGTGTACAGGCGCTGTGTGTTGCTGCTGTGTTTGGTGTTGCCAGTTTATGCGTGTCAACCTTTGTTGTCTCCTGTGATGTCACCGCCACGACCACTGGGCCAGGTCACCAGCGAGATGTACTGTGGTTATGTTTGGCATTGTCAAGGTCATATTATGTCATATTGTGTTTGCTGTTGTCACTGTATGTCGTGTGTGTGGGTGCCGCCCTCCGTTTCCAAGGGGTTCCATGTTCACTTCTTTCCCACAAAGCAGGGGG